TATAATAAATTTTGATGACTTATGATTTAATTAGATATTAATTTTGTTTATTAGGTAAAACTCGAGGTAAATTGGTCGAATTGAAAGAAAGAAACAAAAAAAGGGGACAAAAGTGAAATTCAAAGTTCGAATACTGAAGTGTAAACATATCAATAGTTGATTGGACCATAATATGGTGAGTGAAGATCACATATGATCAATTGGATACAATTGGAGGTCAAAATAGTGAAATATAGCCGCCAAAGTGTTCTCATAAATCAATTTTCAGTCGAAAAAGTTATGCTCCGAATTTTTAGCCTCAACTTGAGACCCATTTTTCAAATGGAAAATGTTTGAATTGAAAATTTGTACTCAAAAATTTGTAGCCATTTGAGTTATATTTTCAACATACTTTGAATCATTTCAATCGAAGATCGAGAGAGAAAGTTACGATAGAAAAATCTAAAGCTGCTTGAGGACGACATGAACAAATCTACGTGCACACTTGCTATTTTGGTGCGCCGCAAGACATCAATTTCATGACCTGAGAGCAAGTCATCAAGCTTGTGGAAGCACGATAGTTATTCCTACATGTGTGCGCTCAGGCTAATTTTCTCCTAACATGCCAATTTTTTTCTTAATTCAAACTTTTATTGGTAACAACTTTGGGAATTTCTTGACCTAAATTCGATCCCTACAAACAACAAGGGCTACACATTGGAGAACTCTCACTGACCTCTTCATATGCAATAATATCATCAAATTTAGTAAGAACAAGATGTCAATTCATTACATTTGGGAGAAAATATCGAGCCCTAGCAAGAATTCAATGCCAATTACATCAAGAAATTGAAGAATTCAACTTTGAACTTGAAGATCAACATCTTTTGTACCCTTTTCATGATCCATGTGATATTTTTTTCATTGTTCTTCTTGTAATTTATTTAAAATCATGTTAGACTGGATCTATTTTTTGTATTGAATGAAATGAACCTTATTGTTTATTTGTTTTAAAATCAAGATTAGTAATTTAGTTTAATTCTTGTATTTCTTGATTAATTTTGCATACTCATTACATTATTTAATTATTGGTCACCAGTTAGATAATTAGTTGCTTGTTATAGTTTGGAAAACTCACAATTAATTTCAAACGCAATAAAATTAATATATTTACAATAGATATTAGGAATAACATTTATTACTTGTACAATCATTTAGATAATCTAAAATCTAATACGTTCTAACCATTCGAAATTAGGTTAGAAATAGATTCGAATTATGGTTAGGATATAATTAATTTGTCTTAGAATATAAGTTAAATACATTGACTTTATTTATTGTAAAAAAATGTATGAACGTAACTAGATTATAAATAAAAAATTGAAATAGATAACAATAGCATGAAGTCAAAATCCAATATAATCATCTATAATTTGATCATCAAAACCAAACTTTTATTACTTTCTTAGATTAATTTAGCAAAAATCAAATCAAAATCTCTCTATTATGTTTTATATAATTCTAATTCCGTACATAGCTAGTAAACGTAAATTGAAATTTTTTCCCTAGGGAACGATAGTCCCAACTCACTAAATCTATTATTGTCAATGATCTCGTACGATTGCGGGTTTCGCACGAACAAAAAGAAAAGCAAATTCATCAGTGCTTTGAAACATCTAAGTTTCTCACATCTTTGTCTTGGACGTCCAGATCGATTATCACCATTATGAACTTCACTTTGGTGTTAGTCAAACAATCATATCTAAAAAGGAGCAAACAACGAGAGCTAATTAGGGCAAATACAAGTGGAAAGATGAAACACCCACACAACATTTTCACCATCAATAATATTGATGCAAGAGTTTCATGCTATTTTCTCCTCTCTATCCAATTTTCATTAATAAACTTAAATAAGGAATCAAGCATATGAGTATAGTTATACTAAACGGTGACGAATATAATAGTTTTTTTTTAAAAAAATTAAATTGTTAATATGGATAGATTTAGAGTGTGATAGATATATAAAAATGGTGTGGATATATAATGTTAAATGAATGAATTTAATAAGGATAATATTAGAATACAAAATGGATGAATATAGTCCTTAAAATTTTAAAGAATAATATTGGAATGTAAAATGGATAAATATAGCACTAAAAATTTTGAAATTTTAATAAGGATGGATTTAGGGTAGGATAAATATATAAGAATCATGGATGAAATAGTGGCTACCATTAAAATTGTCAATTCTTTCCCAAATCAAAACTTACGCCTCCTTTATCCTTCCACAAGGTTTTCTTAGATCTCGTGTACAACATCAACTAGGGGTAGCAATCGAGTCAAGTAGCTCATTGACTCAACTACGAAAAGCTCGACACATGGATAGCTCGGGCTCATCCAAAGACCAAGCTAGTAGTCACGAGACAAGCCAAGATCGTGGATAAAGCTCGACTTGGCTCGTAGCTCGCCATAATATAGTGACCAAACGGTCAATTTTTTTTTTTTTTAAAAAAAAAAAGACCGTTTGGTCACTTTTCAAAATGTTTTAACGATCACAAAACATTCAAAGAGACTGAAGGTCTCTAAATTATTATTATTATTATTATTTT